AAAAAAAAAAAAAAAAAGAAAAAAATATATATATACTTTTCATTTCTAATTAAGAAACAAGTATTACCTAAATAAAACTTAGTCATATGTATAATTTGAATATGTATGTTACATTCAGATTTTTCATATATATATTTATATATATATTTATGTGTTTAAGATCACATAACTCTTTTTTTGGCTAAAAAAACAACTCGAGTCTTGTTTTACTAATAGCCAGCCTTCTCCCCCCACCTCCCATCTACAAAACAATTACATAAGCTTGGGATTTTCTGGTTGTGGATAACTTTATTCCCATTTTGCAAGAACAAGGACAACACAGTTCTGAAAATATGAATACAACTTGACATAGAATGAAAATGGCTTGTCTCGCTTTTTATCCTTGTATATCTATAATGATGCTACACTCTACATGCATGGTTCACAGCTCCCAGAGACCACACAACCAGGTAAATGGCTTACACACATTTGTGCAAGCTGCATATACATACATGTCTTATGTTCCCTCCCTCTCCTGACAGTTGGGCAACAGTGAATGACCACTAAAAGCTTAGGTACTTCTCATGGGCTAGAGGTTGAGGTTTAATACAATAAAAATAAGCTGGACATGGTGATGTGCAACTGCGGTCCCAGCTACTTGGGAGGCTGAGGCAAGAGCATCACTTGAGCCCAGGAATTTGAATTCGGCCTGGGCAACAGGGCAAAACCTCGTCTCAAAAAAAGAAAACAAAAGTAAAAAAAAACAAATAAGTGCGAAGGGATGAAAGAGCACTGTCTAATTCCTCTGCTATAGCAACCTAGAGAGCCCAAGGTGGAAGACGCAGCTCACTGTTGATGATCACCTTTCTGGCATACTCTACCATCCTAGCCGGTGCTAAGAGCACCCACTGCAGTGGCTCTCCTGCCATAGGCCCTCAGCTCATCCACTCAAAAGTGGCTTAATTGAGTGTTTATAAAACTATTGTTTGAGACTTCTGAGATATGACAAAACTGAAAAAGAAACGACTACTCTTATGGGCTTACACTGCAGGGGCATAAGACAGACAATGACCATAATATCTTAGAAAGCAGCACTGGTATGAAAACTAATTTGCTGACCAGAAAACTAGAACTTATCAACAGAGCTTCTGAAAAGCTAGCTGCATAAGGTTCACTGTATTAAAGAGCTATAGTGTTACATTATTTCAAAAATTGAATTACACGTGATCTACGCATGTAGACTTGACACTGGGGATCTGAAGATGAATAAGGCAACGTCTTTGTCCTCAAGGACATTATGGTCTCATAACACGCCAGGAAGGATGTAGAGGGGCAATCATAACACAACATACAAAGTGTCATATTAGCAATGAAAAAAAAGTTATGTGATTCTTTGTAAAGAAATAGAAAAGAGGACTAGCAGAGAATGACAACGGAAGAGGGGCTGGTGATATGAAGAAGGTTGGAATGGTTGGGAAGAACGTGTCCATAACAGACCTTTCAGTTAGTGTTGTTGATGTCTGAATGATTATCTCCTATTGTGAAAGTAAAAGATTCTAATAGGAATAAGAGCTAAGGAAAATTTATATACAAAAGAAATAAATCATCATAGCTGCCTTACTTTTCTTTTAATGGTTAGCTAACATATTCATAAATTGCAAACTCCCTAAAGAAAAGATTTGGTCCAATTTTTTATATACTACATTTTATATGGGCTGCGCATCCCTTATCCTAAATGCTTGTAACCCTAGAGTTTTGAACCTCACTTTTTTTTCTTCATTTTGGAATACAGTCATGAATTACTTAATGAAGAGAAAATGTTCTGAGAAATGCACATCAGGCGATTTCACCATTGTGCAAATATCATGGTGTACTGACACAAACGTAGATGGGATGACTGACCACACACCTAGGCTACACGGAACAGGCTGTGACTCTCGGCTACAAACCTGCACCGTGTTGTACTGAATACTGCAGGCAGCTGGAACACAAAAAGTGTTTGTGTATCTCAACATCACTATATGCAGAAAAAGTACAGTAAAAAGAGCCTGATGGGTAAGAAACGGTCCCCCGTGTGTGGGCAGTTGCCAGGAACGGAGCTTGCAGGACTGGAAGGCGCTCTGGGTGAGTCGGTGAGTGACGGCGAGTGAGTGTGAAGGGCTGGGACATCACTGCGCTCTGCTGTGGACCCCATGGACGCTGACACTTCACCAGGCTAAACTTATAAAAACGGTTTTTACTTTTTAATAATTAACCTTAACTTGCTGCAGTTTTTGCTCTATACTTTTTACTTTTTAAATGTTTTGACTTATAATAACTTAGCTTAAAATACAAACACATTGTCCAGCTGCACAAAAGCACTTTCATATCCTTATTCTAGAAAGTTTTTTTCTTTTTCTTTTTTAAGCCTTTATGTTAAAAACAACAACATAAACATGCACACTAGCCTAGGCCCACACAGGGTCAGGATCATCAATATCCCTGCCTTCCACCTCCACACCTCGTCCCTCGGGAAGGTCTGCAGGGGTCATGACACGCGTGGAGCTGTCATCTCCTGTGATAACAACGCCGCCTTCTGGGATACCTCCTGAAGGACTTGCCCATGGCTGTTTTACAGTTACCTTTACACACACACACACACACACGCACACATGGAATATACTCTAAAATAAGTAATAAAATGCATGTAGTAAATATATTAACCAATAAGTCATTATCAAGTGTTATGTACTATATGTATTTTTATGTGGTATATTTTTATATGACTGGCAATGCAGTAGGTTTGTTTACACCAACATCACCACAAACACCTAAGCAGTGTGTTGGGCTGCAATGTTACAATGGACGAAGGGCATCACTAGCTCCATTATAATCTCAGGGAAACACTGTAGTATGTGCCATTTGCCACTGATGGAAACACTGTTGTGTGTGCATGATTATTTGTTTCTTCCTAATGAGGTATCTTCGGAAGGGGACTCAAGTCTACATAGGAAATTTATTTATGTTTCATATACACATATCCTGAAGTTAATTTGATAAAATATCTTAAATAATTTTGTATATAAACCAAGTTCATGTACATTGAGCCATCAGAAAGCAAAGGTATCCCTATCTCAGGCACCCGTTTGAACAGCATGTGGCATCATGTTGGTATTCAAAAAGTTTCAAATTGTGAGGAATGTCAGATTTCCAGATTAGAGGCGCTCAATTTGCACATTTATGGGACTGAATTTTTTTTTTTTTTTTTTTT